GCCAGGTACTGGATCTCGGCCTTCCCGGCGGAGTTCGACCTGAACCCGGAGCTGGCCGAGCAGATCAAGGCGCTGAAGGCTCTTCTGAACCAAGAGGGGAACCGCCGGCACAGCAGCCTCATTGACATCGAGAGCGTGTGCGTGGGGTGGGAGGGGAATGTCCATTGGCTGGGGTGAGTGGGGGTCATGTCACTCTCTTGCTTGAACGCTTCCCACGGCCCCCTGTCGCCTCGGGTAAGCCTCACCGGGCAGCTCGGCCATCCTGCCTGGCCTTCCACAACCTGCCCATCCCCCACACCTCACGCTGCAGCCCGGCGGGTCCCCTGCGTCCTTCCCGCCATGGTGTCTGCTCCTCTCCCCGCCTTGCCGCCACCTCCTCCGTCTCCTTCAGTGGACTGCGAGCCCCTTGAGGGCAAGAATAGTGTCTTACTCATCTGTCTCGCCCCCACGCCTAGTACAGTGCCTGGCACAGAGCATGTCGGCCATCAACGTGTATGGAGCACGTGACGGGCTGGGGGGAGAGAGGGGGTCCAGGGACAGCCAGGTCTAGGATGGCGCCTCGCCTCCAGTCGGGCCTCCGTCAGCCTGAGTGGCATGTCTGCGTGAGTGCGGGGGTGCGGGGCGTCTCCGGCGGCTAAGGGCTCACTACTCTTGCTTCTCCAGCCCCACCTACAAGTGGAAGCGACAGGTGACCCAGCGCAACCCCGTGGGACAGAAAAAGCGCAAGATGTCCCTGTTGTTCGACCACCTGGAGCCCATGGAGCTGGCCGAGCATCTCACTTACTTGGAGTACCGCTCCTTCTGCAAGATCTTGGTGTGGCCCCAGGGCTGGGCATCAGGGGGCCGTGTGGGCATGGGTGGGGGGGTGTCCCAGGAGGGGCACGGCCCCGGGGGCAGGCTGGCTCACGGGACCAGACGGGGCGGGGGTTTCGGTGTAACTGCCAGGACAGCCGGAGGGCGCGGAGTGGCTGCGAGAGGGGAGAGGCCGGCGGGACGCTGAGGCCACTCCCGCCGGCCCCCAGTTCCAGGACTATCACAGCTTCGTGACGCACGGGTGCACCGTGGACAACCCGGTCCTCGAGAGGTTCATCTGCCTGTTCAACAGTGTCTCCCAGTGGGTGCAGCTGATGGTCCTCAGCAAGCCCACCGCCCCGCAGCGCGCCCTGGTCATCACGCACTTTGTGCACGTGGCGGAGGTGCAGCCGTGCCCCCGCCCCGTCTGGTCCCCCTGGCCCTGCTCCCCCGGCCCTGCCCGCCTCCTTCCCTCCAGCCCACTGCCCCCGTCCTCTCCAGGGAGGCCCGGCACCCTGGGCCCGCTCAGTGACTCTGCCTCCCCTCCCTGTTTGCCTCCCAGAAGCTGCTGCAGCTGCAAAACTTCAACACGCTGATGGCCGTGGTCGGCGGCCTGAGCCACAGCTCCATTGCCCGCCTCAAGGAGACGCACAGCCACGTCAGCCCTGAGACCATCAAGGTGCCCGGGGCGTGAGCTCCTGCCTGGCCGAGGCCTCCCAGGGGCGCCGGGGACTGGGCGCTGCCGTCCTCATTTGACAGCTGGGGAAACTGAGGCTCAGAGGGGTCAAATGCTTTTGCAAGGTTGCATGGTAGAAATGACGGGGTGCGGGCTCACAGCTCTGCCTGACACCACAGCTCATGGTTTCTTCTTCTGCTTCTTTTGTTTTCTGAAAAATACATTAGTCAGTATGCATATAGAAAAGTATCTAGGCTGGGCTTGGTGGCTCAGCCTATCATCCCAGCACTTTGAGAGGCCGAGGCGAGGGGATTACCAGAGCTCGTGGATTCGAGATCCACCCAGGCAACTCGGCGAGACCTCGTCTCCACAATAAATCAAAAATTAGCCGGGCGGGGTAGCACACGCCTGTAGTTCCGGCTACTTGGAAGGCTGAGGCTGAAGGATGGCCAGAGCCCAGCAGATTGAGGCTGCGGTAGCCGGAAGCATGCCACTGCCCTGCAGCCTGGGCGACAGAGTGAGAACCAGATTAATAGTGTAAAGGAAAATTATAAAGAAAGCACTAGGGCTGGGCGCCATGGCTTAGGCCTGTAATACCAGCACTTTGGAAGGCGGAGGTGAGAGGATTGCCCAAGCTCATGGGTTCAAGATCAGCCTGGGCAACTTGGAGAGACTTCGTCTCTACGATAAATAAAAAAAATTAGCTGGGCATGGTGGCGCATGCCTGTGGTTCCAGCTACTTGGAAGGCTGAAGTGGAAGGATCGCCTGAGCCCAACAGGTCGAGGCTGTGGTGAGCTGTGAGTGTGCCACTGCACTCCAGCCTGGGGAACAGAGGGAGACCCTGACTCACAAAAAGAAAAAGAAAAAGAGAGTGCTGTGTCACCAGCACCCAGGTCAAGAAATAAAACACCACCTGGGCAACTTGGCGATACCTCATCTCTACAATAAATCAAAAAAGTTGGCTGAGCCGGGCTCGGTGGCTCAGCCTGTAATTCCGTGCCTTTGGGAGGCTGAGGTGAGTGGATTGCCTGAGCCCGCGAGTTCAAGACCTGCCTGGGCAACTTGGCAAGACCTCATCTCTACAATAAATCAAAAATGAGCCGGATGTGGAAGCGCGCGCCTGTAGTTCCAGCTACTTGGAAGGCTGAGGCGGAAGGATCGCCGGAGTCCAGCAGGTCAAGGCTCGGTGGCTGGGAGCGGCCACTGCATTCCAGTCTGGGCGACAGAACGAGACTCCAACTCAGAAAAACAAGAAAAAGAAATAAAACATTGCCAGCTCCCAGCACCCTAGGGCGTAACTCCCTCCTCTGTGAGCCTATGTCACGACTTCTGTGATGGTGACCTTGCTTTTTTTAGGGCTCTACCACCTATGCGTGTGTCCCAGAACCCAGTGGGATTTATGGCTGCCTGTTTTGAACTTCCCATGAATGGAATGTCATTTTTGTTACTTTATGTCTTGCTTCTTTCATTCCACACGTTGTGAGATTCTTTTCATTCTGTTATGTGGGGCAATTGTTCATTCATTTTTGTTGCCATATAATATTTTATTGTACATCTACCCCTGATTTATGTATCTGTCCTATTGTTGAATCTTTGGGGTGTTTCCAGTTTCTGCTGTTACGGACAATGGAGCTAAGAACGTTCTTCGAGGTCACGGTCCTTTGCTGCCTTACTGCCTAGATCCTCAGCTTCTTCTGTTTTTTTTTTTTTTTAAGTTGGAGTCTCACTCTGTCACCCAGACTGGAGTGCAGTGGCTGCTCCCGGCCACCGCCGCCTCGACCTGCTGGGCTCCGGCCATCCTTCCACCTCAGCCTTCCGAGTAGCTGGAACTACAGGAGTGCGCTACCATGCCTGGCTAGTTTTTGATTTACCGTAGAGACGAGGTCTCGCCAAGTTGCCTGGGTGGTTCTCGAACTCACGGGTTCAGGCAATCCACTCGCCGCGGCCTCCCAAAGTGCTGGGATGACAGGCTGAGCCACAGAGCCCGGCCTCTTTTTCTGTTGAATGTTGATGATAACCCGTGTCCAGACTTGGCATAGGGGTGTGGTGCGTTTGGCAGTGGGCGTTGCCTTGAACTCATGATCTGTGAGCTGCGGCCCCCAGGGCCTGGGAGGATCGGTGCTGGGGACCGCAAGGGAGAATGTTACCCTTCCACCTACCCCTGACTCTTCAGCTGATCCCGCATGTCCAGGACGGTTGGGTGGCGTGCGTGTGTGACCCTCTGCTCTCTGTCCCCCCAGCTCTGGGAAGGTCTGACAGAACTGGTGACAGCCACCGGCAACTATGGCAACTACCGGCGCCACCTGGCGGCCTGCGTGGGCTTCCGCTTCCCCATCCTGGGTGTGCACCTCAAGGACCTGGTGGCCCTGCAGCTGGCGCTACCCGACTGGCTGGACCCTGCCCGAACCCTGCTCAATGGGGCCAAGATGAAGCAGCTGTTCAGCATCCTAGAGGAGCTGGCCATGGTGACCAGCCTGCGGCCACCAGTCCAAGCCAACCCAGACCTGCTGAGCCTGCTGACGGTGAGATCCGGGGCAGGGAGGCTTGGGACCGAGCCCAGGGGTTGGCAGCGGGTCCTGGCTGTGGGCTTGGCCTTGGGTTCTGGTTCTGGTCGAGGAACTGTGATCTAGGGGTGAAGGCCCAGAGGGGCTCCAGGCTCCCATCTGGGCTGGGGACTGAGGTGTGACCGAGGTGTGACCGGGAGGCTAGTGTGTGCCCCGGGGCTGTGTTTGAGGTCTGGACTCTGGGTTGAGTTCCTGGCAGTGGGCTGTGTTTAGGGGCTGGGGCCAAGCTCTGAGTTCCACAGGCAGGGCTGGTTCTGGGCTTGGCCTTACCCTTGGTTTTGAGATCCAGGGTGGGAGTTGGTTCTGGTCCAGAGGTTTTTAAGGTTTGAAGTGAATTTTTAGCTGCCTCTGGGCTCTGGACAGGCTTGGGGTTGAAATCTGAGCTGGGGCCTGGACTCGGTGGCTCAGCCTGTAATCCCAGCACTTTGGGAGGTCGAGGCAAGTGGATTGCCTGAGCCTACAGGTTCGAGACCCACCTGGGCAGCTTGGCGAGACCTTGTCTCTACAATAAATCAAAAATTAGCTGGATGT